CCCCGGCCCTCCACACGCTCGATGGTCCGGCGCATCCATGGCTGACAAGCATCCTGCCCCCTTGCAGGAGCATCTTCGCCGCGCGGCTGCTGGTGTTCGCGGCGCGCGCACTCGATGCCGCCGACCCGGCCGGCGGGGCGTCTGTCGCGCTAGCAGGCCTGGCGCCGGCCCTGCAGCCGGTTGCCCTGCTCGGCAGCCCGACCGCGCTATTCACCCTCATGACCGAGTCCCTGCTGCCGGGGGCCACGCTGGCTGAGCGCCCGGCCCCGCGGCTGCTGCTCCCCCGTGGCGCGATCAGCCCACTCACCGGGCAGGATTTCCTCCAGTACGACGAGCTCGACCTCCTGTCGGTGGACTTCGCCGAGTACTTTGTGGCCTGCCTTCGCCGCGGCGCGCCGGAAGACCCGGCGGATGAAGTGGACGACGATCCCGTGGCCGTGGGTCTGCGCCTGGAGGGCAGCCTGCCGGCGGGGCTAAGTCTGCCGGCGAGTGGCGGCCTGCACGCGGCCTTCACCAATGCCCATGACCGGCTGCTGGAGGTGGCCGCATCGCCGGGCTTGCCTGCACTCCCGACCGATGGGCCAGCCGCTGAGGACCTGATCGACGAGCCGGCCCCCGGATCCGGGGACCTGGCCGCCGCCTCGGCCCTGGTTGTCACGCTCATCGGCGGCCTGGTGGCCGGGGCCGGGGCCGGGCCCGAAAGCCGGTCCTCACCGGAGCACGCGCACTTCCCGCTGGTCTGTCTCGCCCGGGCGGTCCTCCACTCCTGGGTGTATGTCTCAGTGTCGGGCTGACGGTCGGGACCCCTGCCGGAACCCCATGCACCCTCCACCTGGCATCTCCCTCCCTGCCCCATTGACCGTGGCCGCAAGAAACGCCCAAAGCCATTTCACTGCCCTTCTCCCGCGCATGGGGTGTATTCTTGTGTCGGAACAAAGAGACATTCAAAAAAGTGCCGATACACCCACGCCAAGGACCGCAGGAGAGGGCAGCGCAATTGTCCCACCGGCGCCGCAAAACAACGGACCCGGTCGGGACAGGTGCCATGCGAGTGGGCGCATGCCCGGGTTCAGTGGATCTCAAGCTTGGAGGGGAACTTGGCAAACACATGGGCCGACAGCGGGAAGTGGGGGAGGAAAGTGCTGATGGCCTTCGTGATGGCCTCCACCTGCGTGGGCGGAGGGTGTGCCGGGAATACGGGGCGAGGCAGCAGAGGGAGGGGGGGGGGGGTATATGCGTCAGCGGCAGCCAGGCAGAGGGCAGGGGGGAGGGGGAGGGGGCGAGAAGGGGAGCCGGCTATGCAAGCAAAGGAGGGATCGCGGGCGGATGTGGGCCAATGACGCACCTCCACCTCGCCGATGTACGGCTGGAAGCGACCGTCCTGGTAGAAGATGATGCTCGGCGGGGCGTCCGACAGGCCGAGCTTCTGCACCAGGTCCAGGTTCTTGACCATGTCCAGGACAACCACGCGCATCAGGACGTGGCGCACATTGCGGAACTCGGCCTGCAGCGCGGTGGCAAATTCAAGCTGCTCCGTGTCCGGGGTGAAGATCACCGTGCAAGCCGGGCTGTTGGGCAGGAGGCAGTGGTCGATGAACTGCTCGGTGGAGGTAATCACCGGAGGAACTGCATGGTGGCGGCCGGCGGCATGGCAAACATGCCGAGGGGGCAGTGGGTCAGACATTCGGCCCGGGGCAGCGGTGTGTGACCGGGGGAGAGAGCGGGACATGCGCCGCAAGTAAGGGGGAAGGGGGACAAAGAGACCAGCAAACGCCAGGGCAGATGCCCGGCCGCCGCCCCCCCCCCCCCCCCCCCC